CCTAGACACAATATAATCATGATAAATAGGGTAACCCTTGACACACTATAATGATGATAAAATAGGATAAATATCCTAACACTCTAAACTTGATCTTAAATTTGGCTACCATCAGATTAGAATGAAGGACGGAGATATTGACAAGACAACTTTTAGGATTCATGAAGGCCACTATGAGTTCCTTGTCATGCCTTTTGGGCTGACCAATGCTGCTGCTACCTTTCAATCGTTAATGAATGAGGTTCTAAAACCCTTTCTCAGGAAATTCGTCCTAGTGTTTTTTGATGACATTAATTTACATTATCCCAAGTTTTACAGCAGCCGTGTGAGCATCACTTGCAGGTCAACAGAAAAAAATTTACTTTTGGCCAAGCTAGCATCAAATATTTGGGTCATGTGATTTTGGGTGCAGGTGTATCTGCTGACCCTAAAAAATAGAAGCAATGTGGACGTGGCTGATTCCAAAAGACTACTTTACGTGGATTTTTGGGCCTTACATGTTATTATAGGAAGTTTGTGCAAGATTATGGAAAAATTGCAAAGCCTTTGATACAGTTATTGAAGAAAGATGGGTTTCAATATAATATGGATGCTCAGAGGGCTTTTGAAATCCTAAAGGAAGCTCTATCACGATTACCCACTTTGGCCATTCCATATTTTTCGAAACCTTTTGTAGTTGCTTCAAGCAAGGGGTTAGGTGCAGTCCTTCTTCAAGAAAGTAGACCACTAGCTTTTTGGAGCCAGGCTTTTTCAGACCGTGCTCAAAACAAATCGGTTTATGAAAGGGAGTTAATGGCTGCTATACAAGCACTTAATAAATGGAGGCATTATTTGTTAGGGCCTCGTTTCATGATTATAACAGATCAGAAAAGCATAAAATTTCTGACAGAGCGGAAGCTTTTAACGGAAGAAGTCAGATGAGCATCAAAATCAATTGGATCTGATTTTGAAATCAGATAGGCCTGGAAGAGAAACACTATGGCTGATACTTATCCAGAATTGCTCATTTCAGCAGTATCTCTTTGTTAAAACCCCAAGATTGGGAAGATTGGGAAGATGAGATGCGGATAGATATGAAGTTGAGTGGCATTATGACAAATTTACTAGTGGATCCTACTGCTCACCCTCATTATTAGATCAGAAAAGGAAGACTGTATTATCATGGTAAATTAGTGTTACCCGCTAATTATTCCCTAATTCCTATCATTATTAAGGAGCTACATGAAACACCCATGGGAGGACAAGTGGTTATTTTCATACTCTTCAAAGAGTTGCAGGTGTTTTATATTGGGAGGGCATGTGGAAGGACATAAAACAATTTTTCTTGCAATGCGAAGTTTGCCAAAGGAATTAAACTAAGACACTGTCCCCTACGTCATTACTGCAGCCACTGCCTATTCCGACACAAGTATGGATAAATATCTCCATGGATTTTATTGGAGGACTACCAAAAGCAAAGGGAAAAGACACCATTTTTGTTGTGGTGGACAAATTCACAAAATATGCTCATTTCTTTGCTTTATCTCATCCTTATTCAGCATTGGAGGTGGGTCAACTTTTTGTGAAGGAAGTTGTTCGTTTACATGGTTTTCCCTCATCCATTCTGTTAGACCGGTTTTCCCTCATCCATTGTGTTAGACCGAGACAAGGTTTTCCTTGGCCAATTTTGGAGGGAGATTTTTAAACAAGCAGGAACTAAATTGAACTACAAGATGACTCATCATCCATAATCGGATGGTTAAACAGAGGCTATAAATCGTTGTTTGGAAACATATTTGAGGTGTATGTCAGGCCTCAACCAAAACAATGGCCCACTTGGCTGCCTTGGGCTGAATTTTGGTTTAACACCAATTACAGCACCTCTTCACAAATGGCACTATTCAAGGCTTCATATGGATGTGATCCACCTCTCACTTTGAAAGGTATAACAATCCCATCCAAGGTGGAGAGTGTTAATCAGATGCAGGAAGAAAGGGATGGCATTTTGAAAAAGTCGAAGGATAATTTGTGCAAAGCAAGGGAGAAAAATAAGTTGCAAGCTGACAAACACAGAAGGGATGTGGTTTATAATGGAGATTGGGTTTTCTTAAAGATTCAACCGTATAGATTCAAATCTTTAGCAAGAAAACCAAATGAAAAATTGAGCCCACGCTAGTATGGACCTTATCAGGTGGTGGAACAAATTGGTAAGGTTGCTTATAGACTACTCTTGCCAGAACACAACTGTATTCACCCTGTCTTTCATGTATCTTTACTCAAACCAGCAGTGAGTAATGTGCCATGCTCTCAACCTTTACCTCCTATGTTGTCCAAGGAATATATGTTAGAAGTTATGCTGAAAAGTTGCTTGACAGATGAAGGAATGCAGCAGGCGAACTAGAAGTCTTGCTCAAATGGCAGCAACTCCCCGAGATGAGTTAGGAATATGCAAATGTCATCAACACAAAATTTCCAGACTTTCACCTTGAGGACAAGGTGAAACTTCAAGGGCGGGGTATTGATAGGTTCAGTGGGGAAGTCTATACTAGAAGAAATAAATAAAGGAGGTAGTTATAACCACTTGTAGCTATAACCGGTTGTAACAGACTAGTATATATAGTCTGTTTTTAGGTTATTGTTAGCAGTTTTGGAGGAAAAGGGGTTTTGGGAGAGCTAAGGTCCTCTCGAAAGACCTTTGTACCTAGGAGGCATTGTTGTAATCCTGTCACCTTGACAAAACTTCTGTTCTAAATAAAGTCTTTCAAGAGCATATATTGAAGGTTTTCTGTATTTCTGGTGGTCCTGTCACACAGACATGCAGTTGAGGGTGGGTTGGGGAAGAAAAGCTGAGAAAATTAAAAAAGAAATGACAAAATGCACTATAAACTTGAGCTGAAAAAGAACTCACGTTTAGTTTTCTTTTGTGGTTTTCCACCAGACCGCTGACCAGACTTTGATTGACCTTTATTGGAATGCCTACCTAGGCCTTCATACTTGTCATCATAAATTGACAGTTAGCAATTGTAATAAAAACAAATAGAACACAATGAAACGTATTAAGTAAAGCAAAAACAACTTGGAAATGCATGAAAAAGATTGAGTGGCCGTTTTTGGTAAATATAGTTTCATTCCTTAACCTCACAATGATGTTAGCTGAAGAGGGTGAGAGTAATTCTGCAGCAACTCTTCATGGCATATTAGAGAAAGGGGTCTTATTCTATTTCTAAAATGGATTGGAATTATTGACAGACAATACTCAACAACATGTAGGTTTCAATTAGTTTTAACTGCGACTAGAGCAATGGGCCTTGTTAAGCGTCCAAAAAATCATATAACATCAACATGAAAATACTCACCACCAAAATAACCAAAACTCAATTTCAAAGGTAAACAGATCAGAAAATGCTGACATTTGACACCTTTCTGGATAGTATATTAGTTTTATCTTGTGTTTGGAGAGGGAACTTTATAATTTCTAAACAAATCAAACACATTAAATCTGAATTGCTTTCATTCAGTTCAAAAGTATTGAAGTTTTTTTATATAAATATAAAGTATTTTAATTACCACCAAATAATACTATGGTGTCAGTAAAAAAAATCATTGTAGACATCGATAAAAAGATAACCATTATAAACTTAGCTGAGAAAATTTAACTAACATCTACCGAAAAATACTCCCACTAACATTAGTCCAAAAAACCCCAATAAAAATCAACCGAGAAATACTCATGCCTTCATCAATGAATAAATATTCTCAATAATATCAACCAGAAACTAACTCCCACCAACATCAATAAAAAACCATAATTTACAGTAATAAAAAATTAGTTTCATTTGTGTCAACAAAAAACCAACATAACATTAATCGAAAAACAATTCTCCTATGGTTTGTTGAGAAAACCCTTATTAACTTTGATCAAGAAATCATTCTAACTAGCATTCTAGACAACGTTAGTTGAAAGACAACCTTAAATAACATCAACTAAAAATAATTTCGATTGACTTACCTAAATATGTTTAACATCAGTAAAAATGAAAAACTACTAATGTTAACAAAGAAAACTATAACTATCTAAGTAAAGTCAGTTGAAAAATAACACTAACATATATAAAATAAACTTAGAAGTAAAAAAAAAAAAAAGTCAGGATAGATTTCAACTTAAAGAAAACTCCTACCAATATCAATTGAAAAAACGATAGTGACCCACCGACACCCTGACCTAGAGGCAATTGATGGTGTTCTAACCAAAACTGGCCTGACAATGACCCAACCAAGGCTGAGGTGAAGGAAGACTATAATGAGAAGAAATATAGATTTGAAAGGGAAGTATGAAGAATTTCAAATTCTTATTTTGTAGGTGGAATTTGAAATTATTTAGTTTTAAGTATTCAAATTACTCTCATAAATTCATAGAATTTCAATTTCTTTTATAATTCCCAATCCAAAAAACATATTTGAACATTAAACATTCCAAATGCTCTATAAAAATGAATTGCCCTCTAAGAATATAATAAAAAAATTTCATATATTTCAAAGGTATATATCACTCGTGGAAAATAAATTAAAGCCCAACATTACAAAACTTGAGTGTAAAGTGAATTTGTATTGACTTATATACTATAATTTGATCATATGTCTAGTGGATGTAAAATTTTCAACAACCACATTGGTTTTGATGAATATCAATGAAAACTTCCAAACCAACAATGAAGTTTGTTTTAAAATCATGTAAAAGTGATTTTGACTTAAACCAGTGTAAAAGAGTGCAAAACTTTTAATCCTAAAAGCCAGCTTGTTCACGCACTTGCAGTTCATCTCTCTTTCTAATCCAGAATTTATCCACACAAATCCTCACCCAGAAAATTTTAAGGAAACACAGGGACCATAAACAAATAAAAAGGAATTAGTAATATAATAACAATGCAAAAGATCAAAGTTTCTCAGCATAATCAAAGATCTAGGAACGCATACCTCAAATGAAAATTTAGAGGATCCACTATTGTAAAGAAGACTATTCAGAGCTTTCTTTGCATCAGCACGCTTTTGACGGGTAATGAATTTGATTTGACTCTGAAATTCACTTTTCCATCATGAGCAACTCTATTAATAATTATATTGATGTCAAAGAAGCAGGGTTTTCACAATTATAGCAGTATAAAGAAACAGAAGGAGAAAAAACTATGACAGCGCTAAACTACAAGCTTAACAGATTCCTATCTACATTTGTTATGAATTGCATGTCACTAGAAAATTCCACTGCATCTCATAGTTAAGAAATTCCTTGAGCTTCAGAAATGGGAAATCAAGAAATTCTGAGTAGGAGTGAAACACACTCTAATACACACAAGACTAAATATGTGCCTAGCAATAAAACAAGCTTGCCCTTAATTTGAGTAATCGGCTATTGTTTGTTTGTAACTTATATCACCAAAAAAGTATCATTAACCATAAAATTAGATAAATTGAATTTGAAAGTCATGGGGTTTATAAAACAGAATGTCATATCTTAACTAAGCACACTAAGTGTAGTCAAAGAAAACAGTAAAAACTGAAGAATGTGGTACAGCTTGTATATGTGCGTATATCTTTCCTCCTCTCAACCCTTCTCTGATTTTCTTTCTAGTTAGGACTTGGCTCAATTATCTACAAAGGTTAAATGATAATAGCAGTTTCACCGCATGCCTAACTTAAGGTGTACAAAAACTTCAACTTACATAAAAAGCTTAACAGGTTCCAGTCAACTTAGGGATTGACGTGTGTGAATATGTACAAGTGGCATTCAAGTAAAAGTGACTAAATTGCTCTATTCATCATAATTGCTGCCCTCTGTTTGTTTAGTTCAGGGTTCAGATATTTTCATATTAGGAAATTCTGTAAAACCTAAGATCTAAAACTCTCACAAGCTATCTGTCATTGTCCTAAATAAATGACGATTAGAAAATGATTCTAGTACTATTCACAACTGAATTGTGCAAATAATTCACCATTGGCAGCTGGAAACCAGTACCAATAGAATCTCTGCATTGCAGTTAAACTTTTTCTCCAGCTCAGAATGCAGGAGGCTTCATCGTCATCATATTAACATGATAAAGCTTTTGACTTGTATAAAACTAGTTAAAAGGTAACTAACTAACCATTGTATCAAAGGAGAAATTTAAAATACCAAAATACACTCCTTTGAATAATACTTCATGATTTTACAATCCATAAAAGGCACGGTTGAATAAACTTCCTACAATTACCGAAAAAATCTAGAAATATAGGGGCTAAAGTTATATGCTCCAAATGTATACCTTTGATGGTTGTTGTTGACCCTTTCCTATATGCTGCAGGAGAAAATATAAAGCGTTGTATTAATTTCCAAACTTTCTCATAGCTAGTAAAGTGCAAATAAGTCATCCAAGAAGAAACGAGAACATAAACAATCCAAACAGAAAAAGATGATACATAACCAACCCAAACTCAATATAATATCAAGAAAAAGAACGACACAGCTCAACAGGAAGAGAAAATCGCCTTTTGAAATCAGAAAAAAAAAAAAAAAAACTTACGGAGCTGAATTTGTTCTTCCAATTTTGACAGGTACAAGGAGTGGAATGAAACTCGGAGAAATGCGAGAGAGAGGGAATAACGCGAGTCTTTAGAGACGACAAGTTTCGCCATTGTGCTAATTGCATATCGGGAATTAGAGTGCGACCAAAGTTGAAGGATTCTGCTGTAACGGCGTCGTTTGAAGAGAACAGTTCTTGGGTGTTTGATGTTAGACCACAACCGCGCCGAGGTTGTCTCGCTAGCCTCCTCTGCCTCTCCTGTATTGCAGAAATCACGGAATACCCAAACAACACATGCTCTGAAAAAAGTATATGGGCCCTACTATTAGCACCCCTTGCTTATTATTTAAACTTCCCATTCAGGTGAAAAAAAAACTAAATTCTCTTTATTTTTGTTTTGGAAGATCATACAGAAACCTATTTTTCTCATTACAAACTATTTTCTACTATAAAAAGTCTACTCCTCTAACTGAAGACAAATATTTAAATTCATTCCGCAAATATAAGTCAATGGTTATACCTTAACTTAGCGTAGTTTGGAGGTTAAATAGGATTTTAATTCTTAAATTTGAATGTAAAATTGAATTTTTTTTATTTTTTAAATTTTAATATATTTTAGTTTCTAAACTTAAAAAATAATAGATGTAATCATCTTATTCGAAGACATTATTTTTATTTTAAGCATATTTTAGTTTAATATTTGTGTAGGAATGTAACAACCAATATAAACCAATCAACCCTCAACTTAAAATGTAGTCTGATGTGTAAAAAAATTTAAAGTTACTAAAATTATATCTATTTATTTTTGGGGCTTAAATATGTTTTAGTTATTGAACTTTGACGCGAAATTAAAAATCGTCTTAGTTCGAAACTTTGATACATTTTGGTTTTCAAAATTTAAAAATGAATTAATGCATTTTGACTTGTTTATATTGATTGACATATTTTCACTTCAACATCGTAAAAAACATTTAATATAATTGGATTAAAAATGTTATATTCATCTACTTTTAAAGTTTAAAAACTAAAATATATTAAAGGTTCAAACAATGACATATTCTAATTTCAAATCGAAGTTATTTAACCCTTTATTTTTAAGGTTTCTATCAAAGATTAGGACAAACACAAATTCAAATTTATATTAAAGTTTAAGAAAAAAACACATTTAATTATATTTTTAATTATACTTTTGTATACTTTTAAATTGAATCAAGCAAACAGTGTACTATTGATATATGTAATTTTATCATGAAAAAAAAAATTAATCACCTAATTGTGCTTTTGTTTGTGTGTAGGGATGAGAATGTGAGTTGATTTGTCCAACTTTGACCTATCTCGCATTAGACCCACAAAATATGGGTAGAGTTAACCCATCCTATCTTGCATAACATTTGACTTGCATATTTACGACCATATGTATAACCTACATATAAATTTTAATAACTTATACTTTTATTTAATAAATTAATAAAAATAATAATTTTGTAAGTTTATTTTTTAGAATAAGTAAAATTCATTATTTTATAATTATAATATTATGTAGAATCTATTGAAATTGTGGCCCTAATATTTACATCGACTATTTGGCTCATTCCAGCAATTGGAAGAACGAGAATGGCAACATCGTCGCCGAGCTTTTCGCCACCGCAAAAGATGCCGAAGTCGACCTTGAAATTTACCTTTCAAATTCAACTGTTCTAATGTTATGGTCAATGATATTTTTTTCGTGATACAAGTTATAAACATACAACAGCCGATTACTCAAATTAAGTGCAAGCTTGCTTTTATTGCTGGGCAAATATTTAGTCTTGTGTGTATTAGAGTGTGCCTCACTCCTACTCAGAATTTATTGATTTCTCATTTCTGAAGCTCAAGGGATTTTTTAACTATGAGATGCAGTGGAAGTTTCTAGTGACATGCAATTCATAACAAATGTAGATAGGAATCTGCTAAGCGTGTAGTTTAGCACTGTCATAGGATTTTCTGCTTGTGTTTCCTTATACTGCTATAATTGTGAAAACCATGCTTCTTTGACATCAATATAATTATTAATAGAGTTGCTCATGATGGAAAAGTGAATTTCAGAATCAAATTCATTACCCGTCAAAAAAGTGTTGATGCAAAGAAAGCTTTGAATAGTCTTCTTTACAATTGTGGATCCTCTAAATTTTCATTTGAGGCATGCTTTCCAAGATCTTTGATTATGTTGAGAAACTTTGTTCTTTTGCGTTGTTATTATATTACTAATTCCTTTTTAGTTGTTTACTGTCCCTGGGTTTCCTAATTTTATGGGTGAGGATTTGTGTGGGAAAATTCTGGATTAGAAAGAGAGATGAACTGCAAGTGCATGAACAAGCTGGCTTTTTGGATTAAAACTTTTGCACTCTTTAGATAGGACTTTCTGAAAAATAATGCCCTGTATACAACAAGTGTTGGATTGAAATTACAAAAAGGAAGAGTATGTCTAGCTTTATAGTGTAATCCTTAAAGACAAGTGAGAATATATTAATGAATCTCGTATGCGTGTCCGAGTTAATAGAAAGAGGAGGTAAGGATTGATTTACACTGGTTTAAGTCAAAATCACTTTTACATGATTTTATAACAAACTTCATTGTTGGTTTGGAAGCTTTCATTGATATGCATCAAAACCAATGTGGTTGTTGAAAATCTTACATGAAATATAACCAAATTATGGTATATAAATCAATACAAATTCACTTTACACTTTAGTTTTTTAATGTTGGGCCTCAATACATTTTCTTTTAGTGATGTATACCTTTGAAATATATGAATTTTGTTATTATATTCTTAGAGGGCAATTCATTTTTATAGAGAATTTGAAACGTTTAATGTTCAAACAATATGTTTTTTGGATAGGGAATTATAAAAGAAATTCAAATTCTATGAATTTATGAGTAATTTAATTACTTAAAATTAAATAATTTCTAATTCCATCAACAAAATAAGAATTTGAATTTCTTCATGTTTCTCTTTCAAATCTATATTTCTTCTCATTGTAGTCTTTCTTCACCTCGGCCTTGGTTGGGTCATCGTCAGGTCAGTTTTGGTTAGAACACCATCAATTGGCTCTAGGTCAGGGTATCAGTGACTCACTATCATTTTCTAATTTGATATTGGTAGGAGTTTTCTTGAAGTTGAAATCTATCCTGACCTTTTTGTCGCCATTTCTAAGTTTATTTTA